TTGTGCTGAACTGGTGTACGGCACAACTCTCAAGCTGCCTAGTGATATGATAACGTCATCTAAGATATCTCCGTATGACACACAATTTATCACGAATCTTAGGCATAGAATGCAACAGTTGAATCCAATAGCAACATCTGCACATTGCCAAGAAAAGTGTTACGTAAATGTGCTACCTTAAAGTCGTGTACGCATGTATACTTATGTGTCGATCGAGTAAAGCCCACCTCTGTGCCAACCATATACAGGTCCGCACATAAAGTCCTTTCTAGAATGGACAAAACTTTCACAATTGATATTAACGGTCTGAAATCTACTGTGTCTATAGACCCGTGTGAAACCAGCTTATTTGCTTTCGGACTCTAATTTGCGTGAACTGAAAACAAATAAAGACTTAAAGACAGTTCAGCAAATAAATCTGCAAACGAACTCTCTAAGACACAAACTGTCCACCAGATCGGGAAGACATGTTCACTTCCCTAAGAAATCTTGCTTCTTACGTATAACAATTTAAAACATTTTTTTTTTTAAATTAATATCGTAACATATTTCTTTGTTATTTCATGTTTAGTTATATGTGTCAATTACCTTCTTATATATTGAATTGCATTTTGATCTTTTCTAATTTTATATTCCAATTTTGTAATCATGTAAAAAAATACCCGACAGTACGGATCCTCTTGAGATAATTTTCATAATCCTGATGTCGTTCCTTTGAATTAGTCCATTAAAGGAACTGGGGGGAAACCAACTGTGGTGAATGATACTGATAAGGAGCGCGCCTTGCGCCCTCCGATAAGTGTGGCAACCCTAGAGGAGAAATTTCTTACGAGTAGCGAGCAGAGCGAAACAGGCAGGCTGTCGGGGAGTATGCGCGATGTTCCTAAATAAACCTTAATTTTTATTGTGCACTATGTCTTGTTAATATTATATTAATGCAGTAAGAACATAATCTGTGATATGGAATTCGAGGATTGGTGGTAAAAACATAACAGGAAATCACTATACTTCTTAGCCGAGATCAGAGCCGGGCGAGAAGAGATGAAAGCTGAACTGAAAGATTTAAAAGCCGGATATGTCGAGATAAAAGCCGGATATGATGAGATAAAAATCTGGATATAAAGAGATGACGGTTGAGATGAAAACCGGACCGGAAGAAATGAAGACCGGACGAGAAGAGATGAAAGTCGGCCGAGAAAAGCTCCGAGAGCAACTCCCACAGATGAAAGTGGAGCTTGCAGAAGAAACTGGAGCCATAAAAGAAGATGCGGAAAATGACGGAAGTGGCATCTGAAGAATCAAAGGATGAAGAAATGAAGGAAGTAGCTAATGAACTGTCCGAGGAAAATCAAGAAATTAAGGATGAAACATCTAACGGCATTAAAGGAAAAGAACGAAAACATGAAGAAATAAAAGACGCGAAAGAAGATTTTGATTCTCACGTGCCCAAAGTAGAGATAGAAGAAAGCTAAAATGCGACTGTCAAGTTCGTAGAAATTGATAGTGATGTTATGAAAACACAGTCAGCAAGTTTTCAACCATCTGAAAGTGCATGTGATGCAGAGATGGGAGAAGCTGATGTACAGCTTAAGCAGTGTGTTCTAGTATTGCAAGAAAATTCACCCACTTCGCAAATTGGGTGTGTGCCTTATAGTGCAGGTTTTGCAGACAAGGACTTGATTCTAAACCTGGATATTTCTGCTTGCAAAGGACCGGATTCTATTAATGACCCTGGTGCAAACATCGGAACTGGCTTTCAGGAAATAGAGGTAAATGAACATGTACCAGCTGCTGAAAATACCAAAGGAGAACTGTACACATGCTGCGAATGAACTAAGAGCGGTGAACAAACAGTCTCAGATCTTCCTGTGGATAAAGTCTGAAAGGACTGAATCTTAGACTGTGATATGCAAAACAAGAAATGTATCTGAGAACTGCAGTGGAAAAGTATTTGACTCCGGTTATAAATTCATGAAGAGACTGAAGACTGAAATTCATTTCTGAACCTTTAATTTGTATTATTTGAAATTGTTATGTGTTTAATTTGCGTATATAACTTGTACATAGTGTAAATATTTGTTTCTTTAGTTATGTTATTTTTTTTACCTTTTGTTTGTATCGAATTATGCTTCTGAACAAGGATTATACTGCCCGGGACGTGCAGTCCTTGGGAGGGGGCAGTGTTAGGAAATGTCCATGCGCGGTAAGATAGCTTCCCTGCAAAGCAGGTTTAGAGTTGCCATAAAATGGCAAGGGCAGGCAGGGTTGCAACATTTGGCGACAAAATTGGCGATATGTCATAGACGAATGGAGAACCTTCTGGAAGGAATTCTTACCGGTTTAGACCAGAATGTGTTTGAACACAAGCCAAAAACTATATAAACCTTGCTGGTACGCGGAGAGTCAGTGCGAGTTAGTTAGTGTGTCTCGAGTTAGTTAGTCCGTGCGGAACGTACTCGAGTTGACAGCCGATCAGCGAGTGCCGAGCGCATCGAAAGAGTCTCTTAGTGTGTCACGGTTAGTGCATCATCGAGAGAGTGTGTTAAGCTCCGGGAACGACTGAACCGAAGAGTCGGGAGCTGTGCTCTGTGCGTCGTCGAGTGCATCGCGAGTTATAGCATGGAAAGTCTCGAGAGTACTTGGAGTTCCGAGAACGACCAAGGAGAGTCGGGAGCTGTACTCTAGTGCTTTGCCGTGAAGCTGTCTCCGACATTATAGCCTGATAACCCGGAGTCTGTGTCGCTGATTGTATCAGCGTGTTTACAGTAGATCTTCGACTACTGTAAAAGTGTTTTGGAGCTGTCCTGATAAATATTGGTAAATAAAGTGTGTTTCGATATTCCATCAAGTGCTGTCGTCGTTATTCACTCCAAATCTACGAACCCCGTACGAACGTGAAGGAAGAAAAATAGCGCAACAATATTGTCTGCATATATTTAGATACTAAAAGATTTTAAAACTTTTCGCGGGATCCCGTTCAGAAGCCTTTTATTTAGGCCATTTTGTCATCGGCTGTTTTGTTACAGGCTATATTGTCATGGGCTACTTTGTCCTGCACTATTTATCGGGGCTATTGTGTGGGTGTATCCTTATTTATTTTCTTTAATATTATTAGTGATTTTACACATATCGTTTTATAACTTATGGAGATTTATTTAGTTTGACTAAAAATTCATTTTTTTTTTTCCATTTGTTTTTTGACTAAAATCATCTTTCCTTTCGGTCTCGTTTTCACGCACGCTTTCCTGCCACAATGCTAATGAGATAGCGCGCGTGTATTAAAATTAAGGGAGAAAGAAGTGCTAAACAAAGGTTTTGCAAGGTGATTTTAGTTCATGCTGACCTAAAGATCACGACAATAGAAGAGGAGCTCTCAAGGCTCACCAAAAACTGTTTAAACTCCATATTCACGTCCAACTTTGTCGAAAATCTCTGAAATAGTGAATTACAAACACATAGTTTTGCCAGGAATTTAAAAGACCCTGCACTGTGTTTCACGACCAAGCTTGAATCTTAAATTTCTAAGCTGCTTTTCTATTTTTCGCAGCGCTTTTGTAGCGCAAATATATTTCGCTTTCGACTCCGAAGCTCAAGTCCCTCTAATTTTTATCTTCTCTTTTGTATTACAAAATTCCTTATCTTTGCATGCGTTTTTTGTAAATAATGTATATAGCTATTTATCCAAGACTTTTTATTTTACCCAAGACTTATTTTTCTTTTCAAACTGTATTTCTGAATTTTCTGCTATGAATTGAAATTATCGTCGTAGGATTTCCCATTTTTGATTTTTTGCCTTTAGACGGCTTTTTCGCTTCACCCCTTCTATTCCAAGTGCTTTTGGTATTACTTTCACAACAATCTGGTTATAGCCGAAAGGCTGATGCCAGACTAACAATTACGATAATGGTAATGGTGGTGATTTTAGAGCGTGTTATGGCTGCTTGAAAGCCACGTTGTTATATTGAATTACTAGCGATTTGATTATGTGGCGTTAAGTGCTTCTAGCCATAAGTTTTGTTTCCGCCAGCTTCTCCAAGTCAAAGCCTTCCCCAAGCATAGACATTAAAATTTAATTTAAGGCAAAAAATATCATGTTTTGTCTGTAAAATCTCTTTGGAATACAGCAAAAAGAACGCACACGAAAATGGCGAAGTTCCTTGACTGAAGGATTGTGATGAGTGTGATCGCTAGAGTTTGGCACATTCTGAAAATCTAGCGACTTCTACTAAGGGTGTTGCGTTAATACGTAAGTACCGAAAATAATTCAGAAATGAATATCATGCCTCATTTGAAATTCTAATGTAATCAGATCACAGATACTTCGTTAAAAGAATCAATTTCATTTCAAACTAATTAAAAGTTAACTTGAATAAGCTACTTATTTTCTTTTTCGTGAAAGACTAAAATGAGAATTCTTTAAATCACAATAACCAGATAATAATAAGCAAATAAAATATCACTATTACTACGGAGTTCATGATCTACGTTTAAAAACAAAGACAACATTCAAAAAGCTGAAACTATCAAAATATTTTCATTCTAAAATTAAGGCAGGTAGGTAATTGATCGTCATAAAAGACTTATATCAGTAATAGTTTAAACATTTGCGTGAAATAAGAAGATCACATAAAAACGTTTTTGTCCGACAGATCTTTTGTGTTAAAACGGATGTAATACAGCAGTTCAGTTACCAAAATTTGAGTAAATACAAGTAAGTTATCTTTTAGAAAGAAAAGAGAGCAAAGATATTTGTTTTGCAGAGCCCTGGCACGGAAGTCTCGTGTCAGTGGTTCCTCTCACGATATCTTTTACTCGAAAGTCTATTTCTTATTATCAGCCTTCAATAATAACATACATTTTTGTTCTAAAATTTTAGTCCCAGGACTATAATAAAACATAACAGATTGAGAATTTTTTAAAAAGAATTCAGATGCACGAAGATAATCAAAACAGCGTTTTAGTAAAGCAAAGTTTTAGTAAAATTAGAAATAAATACTTACTTTCCATCTCGCAAGACTTGGCATTTTCTCATTATTTTCTGTTATAAAATTAGAGAAAATTAATTATTTCAACAAAATATTTAAATTTAGGATTTAGAAACATAAGAAGATGGTATAATGCCCATATAAATGCATTTGTTAGTGGAAGATAAGGCATAATTTTATCTAACTTATAGTTTGATAACAGAAATTGTTTATCCATTTAATATTAAAATTTAAAAAGAAATGTAATGAAGTAATGAAATGTTTATAAACTGATAAAAAAGAATGACATAATGACTTAAAGCCGCACTTTAGTTCAAATAATTTGCACTATATTTGTTTAAAAATTGCAACCTATTCATGTAAAAAAGCTTATAAATATTTGTAAAACATGAACAAAATTTGGAAATACCTAATCAGTATAATACCAAAAATCAGTAAAGAAAACATGAAAAATAATGTAGATAGGAGGCGAAACATTATGTATTAAAGATAAAGAGGAAAATTTTCGGGTGAGGGGGAAAATAGATAAATTCGCTTGACTAAGTACTATAGTCGGCCTCCTAATTAAGAACAAAAATTAATCAAAAGAAAAATGACAACAAATAATTTAAAAAATTTTAAAATGATATCCGGGGAAATCCAGCGCCAATTCACTTTCATGAAAACTTATGTATTTCCTGGAATAACTACTTATCGACATCGATTTTCTAATACATGTGAAGATTCCTTGATTTAAAAAAAATTTGGAAAATCTGTCTTTTTATTTTATGAATAAATAGTATAATACTTTAAAACCTAGATTTACCAATGTAATTCATGCATGAAGGTCGTTCTGCATCCAAAATATTCGTAAACTGAAAATATTTTCCTACAGGAATAACTGCAAAATGTAGTAATACTTCCTGGATCACAAATGATCCTTATTTAAAATTTACAGCAACACATACTGCGCAAGTTCATAACCCAGAACCAATTGAAATCCTTAAATTTAAGATAAAAAGATGAACACAATATTAAATATATAAATTAGACGAAAATTTAGTTTAATTTTACAGTACCTCTACGAAGAAGAGTTCATGGCATAGCTGGAAAGTGATGAGGTAGAGAAAGGAAAGAGTTATTTGACGAGAAGTCCCTTTCCATAAAAACATCAGCTAATTGTGCCGCGAAACTTCTTCTTTTATTTTTTCTTTGTGTCTTACTGTCACTCTGAGACTCACTGGGTGTAAAATCTACTTAAAATGTATCCATTGTGGTTGAGGCTCCCCTGTATTTTATACCTTTTCTTTTCCCATTTGCATTTTATTTAACATAATCACTGAAAGCAGGTAAACTTTCGCAACATTTTAACATATATAACTTCTACAGAAGAGATAAAGATGATGACAGAAGGTGAACAATGAAATTCTTTATTCTACCGTACAATCAAACGGGACGTGTTAACTTGCATGGCAAAATTTGTAATGCCTGTCTTCGCATCGTCTTATTTTAGAAAGCGTTTCTTTATCTGTGCGTTATTGTTTATTTAGAGAATTTCAAGGTATATATATATAAGATATGTTGTAATGATATATAATTTGATAGAAGCATGAAGAGCTATTTAAAATGACAGAAAATACATCTTATTCTTTAACAGAGTTAGAAAAATTGTTTGTATTTAAATAACAGCATACACTTTCTAATCTAAATTTACATGCATTAAGAATTTGTAAGAATTGTACAAAATTCTAGAAGAGTTGAAGAAGTTTTAAAACTTATATAAAGAAGTAGAGCTTTACAATAAAAATATTCTGAAAGAAAGAATCCTATAAAGAAGTGTTTAGAGCCTTACAATAAAAATATTCTGAAAAAAAGAATTCAAGCATTTCTTCAGAAGATGGATCCACTTTTTGCAATATTTAGAAAAAATGACCATCACGATCACTGGGGTGACATGAATGCATTAAACTTCATGAATTCAAGTATTAAGAATTTGTAAGAATTGTACAAAATTCTAAAAGAGTTGAAGAAGTTTTAAAACTTATATATAAAGAAGTAGAGCTTTACAATAAAAATATTCTGAAAGAAAGAATCCAAGAATTTCTTCAGAAGATGGATCCACTTTTCGCAATATTTAGAAAAATGACCATCACGATCACTGGGGTCACATGAATGTATTGAATTTCATAAATTCAAGTGTTAACCATAAGAATCTGAACTGCATGAATTCAAGATCTGCTCATTGTTCACTTTTATTCGTTAGGTAATTTCTAATTCTCCTGAAACCCAAGGCTTCCACACTTGAAAATAGCTGTACGGACTATGCGGACTAAGGTGTCACTCTTATTGAAAATTCAGACCCCCCCTCCCCCCAAAAAAGAAAAGGATAATCATCAATCGCTAATGCCAAGTTTCTGTTAAACTGATTTAAAAGCTACTGTAAGTGAGTGTTGTACATTATAAATTCTGCTTACTCATTTAGCTTATTGTCTCCAGCTGTTAGTTTGAGTTGGCTACCAAGCAAATATTCTTTACCGAAAGATCTCTCTGTCATCCTCATCCTTCCATCTGACTCACTGAGTCATGAGCATCACTTTGCTAGCCTGAGTATTTTGGATCTAATAGTAAATTTTATGGCTGGATATTTAGCCTTCAAACTGATACCCCGAAAGCGCGTTTTTAGGAAACATTACTTATTCCTTGCCGTACTCTGTTATCTAATAGCTCTGTTACCTAATAGCTGTTATCTAATAGCTATATATTAGCTAAAACTATCCATTGGGTAGATAAACTCATCGAGGCTGGAGATGGCTATATTGAAACATTCTGAGCGATTAAGCTATCAGAGAAAAAATAAAACCAGGTATCTAAGTTATTTCTGGGAAACTATTAGCAGTTGGAAATTAGCAGTTGACCTTTGCATGCATTTGAGAACTCATGGATAAAAGGGCAATTACTATGACTGAATGATATTACGATTTTTATAATGTACAATTTATTTAATAGTAAGTTACGTATATTTTAAAACTAAAATGTTTATTAAAGTAGAAGCCAAGTAACTGCATTAGAAGATGCATTATTAGAAACTCACCGCTCATTTGCGCAGCCCTCTTCCTCTGCCGCTGAGTTTTACGTATTATCCATCGTTCAAGTAATTCCAAGCTGACGTTATCCAGCACGTATTTTTCGAGGAAATCCTCATGTTTCTTTAAGTACTCGGCTACTTTTTGAGGCCAACCAAACGTCTGAGATCTCTCTGTTGATAACAGAAATTAAAATTAAATTTTTTAGCCATAATAATTAAGGTTTCGTTTTTTTAGAAGAATATAGTTCTTTTAGAAAAAGGGCGGATTCGTGGATATTTCTTTAAATGGTCACTATAGATGAGAGGGAGACAATCTATGGATAATATACTGAAAATCTGTTGCAATTAGCCAGTAGAATCCAAGCGAATAATAATATAAAGCGAATTAAATGGCTGTAAATAACTCTAAGAGAACGCAGATATTAGGCAAATCTTCCTTAAGTCACGAGAAATACCATAACTTAATGACGTCATTCACGGAGTAAACTCTACGATGCAATTAAGTTTTCCATGCTAACTTTCCATAAACCGCAGTCTTCCTGAAATTATTCAGAGCAGATTATTAACTGATTGATGGCCTGGACATGGGCACTTAGATTATTTGCTAGATTCCCTTTGTTGGTATCTTCTAGAACTAAATTTACGCCTGAGCTGGCTTGAATTTGTAAAGCTCTGAACTGCAGTTCTTAAAAGGAAGGCAACTGACAGCCGTTGAAAGATATGCTGCAAAGTTTCCATTCGCCCCGTGTTGTACATTTGTAGTGCATGGGGAGATTTTATGTATTCAGAATAAAAAAATGTCCTTTACAAAAATTTTTACATCCCATCTCAAAGAACCAAGAATATACTCCAACGCGAATTTAGTTCTCGAAAACTTTGTTGTTGTTGTTGTGAGTTATCTCACTTGTCTGATAGTAACATCAGAACAACCCACGAAAATCAATGTGGCAAGGAGTGCGAGATTGCGCCTGTTGTTGGCAAGCACCATACAGATGATAATATGAGTTTCCTCAGTTCCGTCCCTAATTTCGATGAAGAGCATCCCCGGGGAGACGGGTCAGGGTCTTCCACCCTTCTTCCCTACCACTAACCCTCGAAAGGACTTCCTGTTCGCCGCATATTTGGAGTGCCCCCTTACCACATGGACACTATACATTTACAAACATCCATGCCTTATCCGGGATTTGAACTCGAGCCCTTCGCCACGGCAGTCAGCGCCGCTAACACTATTCCTATTAAGCGGCTTGAAAACTTTAGAATAATAAAAGGACAATAAAGGACATATATACAAAATTTTAAAACGTATAATACTGTAAAAAAGGGAAAATTGGAGACCAGAATCACGTCTTCATAAAATAAAAAATAAAAATAGAATGGCAAAATTGTCCTAAAAAATTTTATTTTTTATAGCCCGTTTTAGAACGCTATTCATTACTTTTAAATGTAATTAATAAAGGTTTAAAACAGGCTAAAAATGCATGTATACACATATATATATTTCCCTTTTTTTACAACTAACTTTTTTTTTACAACTTACAATGTTTGTTGCTGATGCGTAAAAAGGAAAGCAGCAACAAGAGTCGGAGGGTGTAAAATTGAAATTGAGTTTCAATATTCTTAAAAAGTAGAAAATATACATATATGATCTGAGAGTGGAACATATTATTTTTTGTGAGAATGGATAAACTGAATATACCTATGTTTTCTTATAATTTGAAGACCTTAATATATTTTTTATTTTACAAAAATTCTTCTGTCCTCATGGATCTCAACCCTCTACAACAGCTTCACGATCAAGCGCTGATAAAAGGTGAATTTCAACTGAGATAATAACGTGTGATAAATCAGCTATAACTCACTATTGGTATTGACTGTTGAAAGAAAAGGAAGTAAAATATAAGTTGTCCGAAAAGACAGAGTTTTGAGTGTGTGAAAGAACATAAATTTCGTAATAGATTGTAGAGAATATTACTTATACAGACCATGTTACCACTAATTGAAGAAAGGTTACTGAATAAATATTGCTGGATAAATGCGGAGAACTTTGATTAGAGAAATTACAAGAACTTGTGCTAAATGAAATATAGGAACCTTGATAGGGAAATGGGACTATTCGCCGTGGCCGTTTCGCCGTCGGGGCGTTTCGTTGTCGGGACGTTTCACCGGCAAGACATATTTTTCTTTACACGGCTGTATCACATCTTGCCTTTTATTTTAAGTTGATTTAAACTAATAGCTCTGTTCAGCTGAATAATTTAATTTAATTTGATAACAGATTAAATTCGTGTACAGTTTTATACAAATACACAGTTACACATGACACATTAATTTTAAGAGAGAGTAAGGTGCTGACAAGATTCCAAAGTAATTCTGCTTTCCAGTCAGATTTCATAAAAATGTGAATTTCCTGCTTGTATGAGTGATTTCTCTGAACTAGGCGATTAAATTTCCAAGAAATTTTGACGAATCATGTAAATATTGTACCCGTATAATTTTAAATCGGTAATATAACTTCTGTTAGATAAGAAGTTTAGCCCCAGTTCTCTTTGATACTGACATAATTTTCCTACTATATGTAATTTCTTTATATCTCATATTTGTAAGTAACTGTATATAATAAAAGCAACCTTTATTAAGTATACAGAAGGTAAAAGGTAAACAGAATTATTAAACTAAGTAAATTTAATACTAGTATAATACCGCAAGATAAAATACAGTCATGTAAAGAAAAATATGTCTTGACGGCGAAACATTCTAGACTCCCATGATAGGATAGTTGCACTAAAAACCTAGCATGGTAACATAAATACAAGAAGTAAAATAATGTTTGTCTCGAAGCGGAGTTGAGGTTTGGTTTATTAGATTACGGCAAAGCACTCGAGTGCTACCTCCCTTAAGGAAGGGATGCCTTAGTGGAGGACTTTTTAAGAGAAACTGGCTCGTATACACGTTACACATGGGGAAAACCACGAAAACACACATGCAGCCAGCCCATTCGCGGGATTCGAACCTCGGGACCGAACTACCAGTGTTCAGCGACGTTACCGCTCGGCCGCTGGTGTGCTGCGGAGTTGAGGAGGAAGTGAGTTGCATAAGGTCTCACGTAAAAGTCTTCTCCAGTTATCCAGTTACACAGTCCAAACTATCTGCAAAGTTGAGCAACTTGCTTGAACGGACTGATCGCTGGCTGTCAGAGCTATATTTAATTGGTGCCGCCAGATCTTTTGGAAAAATCAGGAAAAAGTGCTCCTGAAGCTTCTTTGAAAATGCATTTTACTGAAACTTCCAGAAAATCAAAGTTGACGAGCAATATCCAAGTACAGCCAACGTGAAGACAAATGTTTCGCTATCAGCTGTCAGGAAATTTCCGTATATATCCTGGGATCTAGTTGAGCTACTTTTACAGTTTCAACATTGCTGAATTCAGAAACACAATCATAACAATTTTACATTAGAAACGAGCACTTATATACAAATTAAATACTATACACTATTATAACTATGCAATCAAATAGATTCAAATATTTACTGAAATTTCAACATCATGAAGATATAATTAATATATTTTCTATTTGTTCTTATTCTTATGTATGCAACATAAATGTTCATTATGTTATATAATACATTTTTCATTACCTTTTATATTCTTGTAAAAGCAACATAAATAATGGTTTTTATATTTTGCAATAATGATGCATGTTCCTCTATGCTATATTAGAAAATAAGAATTTCCTTATATTATTCAACAGAAAAGAAGTTTAGAAAAAACATATATTTTTTCAATCGAGAGTAAAATTCCCGCAAAGGATTATCAGCAAAGACAGCCGCAGTACTTATTTCTTTAAATATTAATCCAATCCATGTATTTCAAATTACAAAGTCTCCCACTAAGTAAATAATTTTCTGAAAACCAGCATGTGGCTTCAGGGGTTTCTGTAGATATAAATTTAAAATTTTGCATCGTCTCCGTAGATCAAAAGTTCAGTTACTAAAATGCTTATTATGCCTTTCCAAATTAGAATTCTTACTAACTTAGATTATTTTTCGATTTCGAGCGTTAAATGATTTTGAATAGGTTTCTATAGATTCAAAGGAAAACTTAAGCAAAAGGTGATTAATGGGTCTGTATTTACTGTTCATTAATGGGTCCGTATTTGGTAAAAGAGCACTTGTTATTAACTTTATAACTAGGGCCATGAAACTATTAATTATTAATATCTCGGTGTAATTGTGTGTAAATTTACGGATTTTTATGTTTTACATATAAAAATACGAACAACATCTTAGTGAGTTTTTTACTTTACGAAGATCATATAAAACGTTAAGTTTTGTATTTATAAAATCCTTTTACTCCTAAATCCTGAAACTACTTCCATAAAATTATGTACATTATTTAGAGAAATTTTGCTACTAGAAATACACTGAAGTGCCACTGAATTAGGAATAGACATGGCTATGCAAATTTTTATAGCGCTGCGCCGCATCTGTGCTCACGTGAGGAAGTTGTGGTAAATGCACATATAGCTAGTACTATAGTTGTTGTTAATCAGTCTTTTCAATTGCCAGTATATGTAAAACTTCTGATTTAGGCAGCTTCGATCGCGGACAGATAGTAAGCACTCGACGCATGGACCATTCACTTTCCAAAATCTTCATCGGGCTAAAATTTTCAAGGTCGACAGAGTCAAGCGCCTACCGTGAATACAGTGATGGTGGGAAAAAGAGCTAGCGATCGGGCAAATTGCAAAGGACAATTAACCTAGAATAAGTGTGCTGTGAGACAACTCCCCCGTATTGTACATAGTCAATGAAGCCAAACATTATCTTAAATTACCACCTCGCTTAATCCGGGCGACAGTCATATAGTATAGTCAGTAAAACGGATCGTGCAATGCTCGCTTCACCATATGCTTCGGAAGCCGTAGGTCCACGAGAGTACCTTTGCTGAATACATTCCATCGAGCTGCACTTCTTGCCTGGGCAAGAGAATACAGAGAATAGACTCTAGTGGACTTGAAATGAGTAGCAAGGAGTGATGAGTCTCGATTCCGACTAATTATTACCGATGGGAGGCTGAGAATATGGCATCAGACTCATGAAACCATGAAACCTGTATGGCAGATTGGAACTGTAGAAAGCCATGGTAGTTTAATCAAGGTCTAGGATATTTT